TCTTTTACATAAAAAAGATTATTATTACAAACCAAGAGAATTCCTACTTTAAAAATTCTTAAAATGTTCATTCTAAAACTAAAACTGTTTTTCATTTTAAAAATGAAAAACATTTTAATATTAAGCAGAAAATGAGGAAGAAATAAATATTGTAGTAAAAATGTTAATTTCAACTACAAAGTTTTAACTTACATCAGGTTATTCTTCTGTGCTTCGCTCCAATGCGTCTGCGTGTCGCTGTAAAGAAGACTGCACTTAATAAAATATTCCACTCTGCTTCAACAAAGAGAATTCTGTGGTGCGCATTTAAATATTTCTATTTTTGGTTTAACATTGGGACTCTGTGTTTACTGGAAGCATATCCGGTTTGTTCATTTTAAACTTGTTTTTTGTTGCAGTCTCTTCCTCCTGCGTGTTCAGTCCTCCTCATTGACACAGTGAACTGTGACAGCTCGTGTCACGTCTTAAGAAACTAAATGATGGAAAAGAGGAAGAAGTGAAACATGCACTGTTGGCTGTCCAGCAAATAAATACAGAAAGTGTCACTTTCAGGAAAGACACTTCTGTGGGAGACAAACTAAAATAGTTGTTCATACCGAATTTTTATATTTAAAAATCAGAGTTAGGGGAAAACAAAATGTTCTGTGTCATGAAACTTGCTCTTATTACCTGGCTAAATCACCATGGCAACTTATGGTGAACACACAACCTGGTTGAGAGCAGGTTGTGTGTTCAGGTTTTCAGTTTAAAATCAGTTCAGCTTTTTTTTATTTTACCATTCTCTAAGCTGTCGCTACATTTGCAAGTGACTGCAGCATTAATCTTCTATTTACAACAGTCTTGCATTTTACTATTTTATATTTCATGTTCTTAGATTTTTATCACAAATTTAACCACCATCAACACTGAAAAGAAAGAAAAAGACCTTCTAGGGTTGAACATGGACATTCATTGAAAATAACTAAAAGGAAACAATAAGATGGGAGCTCAGTCACAAAGCCCTCCTGGTTTTTTACTATATGATTGTAAATATTGGTCTATTTCTTTCTAAAAAGCATAAAAACGAAGTTTAAACTGCCTAAGAATACAAAACTTTATGAAAAATATATTTATTAGTTTTTCATATTCTTTTACTTTGTTAAAACAAAAGCATAGTCCAACATAGTTTCAGAGCTACTGTTTATTGTTGATT